TCAGGGGTCAGTGAAGCTTGTGCTTGTTTCACGGTGTCGCGTTTCTCGATCAACGGGCGTATATACGTGCGCGAGATACGCTATATATCGAACGATGAGTCCGATGACGACGTACGACGCCGCAAAAAGTATCGGGGAAAGAAATTACGAACGAGAGTCGAGACGGTTTTTCCGGTGATACAAGCGCCGGCTCCGTTCTGGCTCGATTCTTCACGCGCGACAAGAAGTTTTACTGGGTCTCCGAGTAACATCGCGGCCGTGCGCGCGTTGCCGCGACGTCGTAATTAAAGTCAGGCTAATCAGGCATGAAATCGTATCAAAGTCCGCCGTTAACGACTGGAACAACTTCTGGTCGCGTGACCACCACCCGCTCAGATGTGTGTCTGTGTGTGTGTGTGTGTGCATGTGCGTGTGTGTACACACCCCCGCTCCCCATCTCTCGACACGCGCGTACTAAATAGGTGCATAGGGGCTCAAAAGCTGAGGCGCACACTTAAGTTAATGAAACGAGCTGAGACTGGTGAGAGACAAAAGATTACATCCGGCAGGCACGACAACGACGAAGAAGCGATTCACGGATAAATCCGTCGAGTGTCCCGCGCGTAAGTGTGTTTCCTTCCGTCTCGCGTGTCCGAAAGAAACGACTTTCTGCGAACGAATGCTTATATCGCGCGAACGCGCCTCGCGTTATCCGGCGAGAGCAGGGCGAATTTTGCGCGCATTTAAGAGCGACGCGTGAAGAAAGATAAGCAGAGGAATCCGAGGACTCGGAGAAGAGGTGCAGTGATTGACGAGCAAGGAAAAGGGTTCGTTAACGCTAAAATTGCGTACAAATAAAACTGAATATTCTTCGTCGCGGATCGTGGACACGCGTGTGCGCCGATAATTGTCACATTTTTTTTCTTATAAGTATTCGGCGTTTATTTCTTTTGTAAAGAATAAAAGAAAGTGATATCTAAAATTTTTCACATTCGCGACGTGCAGTGGCACTTGCGCATTTTCGCGAGAGATCACACAATATGATAATAAAAATGTAAATTAAAAAATTTCTCAAGCAGTACGCATTTATTTCTCGGTCATTCCGAGAAGAGTTAGTTTACGTGTTGTAATTGAGACTGTTTTTTATAACAGTCGGCATTAATATAAACTTCACAGAGAAAAAAATGCAAAACGAGAAGCGCGAGTCCACGATCGGCGCGAACTTTACATAACATAGCACTCGGATGCAGATCGGTTGGTGGTGGAATCGAGACGATATAAAGCGAACATCGAGATCTCGCGACGATCCCACGATCACGATCTCCTGACGAGGGTACCTGAGCCACACATGGGCCGGGCTGCTCGCAACTGCATTGCTGTTTCGCTCGTTAGCAGGGCTTTCCATCCAGTTCGTTGTACGCGCTTTCCTGATTGGTCAGACACTGATCAGACGGGAGGTTGTGGATGTGCATGATTCGAGTGGCGATCATGTCCATCGTTTTGCGCTCTTCAGCGCGTGATATCTCGCGCGATTGCGACTTCCAAAAGTAATAACAATATTCACGCAAACTTTTTTGCATTCTTATATCACTCTGTGATACACTCATTTTGTTTTGCAAAAATAAAACTGCATTACGCGCGCTTCACGACATCTCTCTAATTAAACGTTCCATTTAATTATTGTTACGCAGAACATTCACCCGGAAACCCCCTTCCTTCGCTTTAATTTCTTTATTCGTCATCATTAATTTAGATCTTTAGTGAGAATTTAATTGCCCGAGCATTCTTTTCACGTCTTAATATTCAACAATGGATATTATTGCAACTTTTAAATTAAATGTCTAAAGTTCTACTTAAAATTGCGTGAAGAACGACCTTTTGCTAATAAAATGTCAACTATCAAAGATCCGATCGAAGAATCAAGATAAAGTTAGATAAAAGGAAGCGAGGGGTGCGCGCTTTCTCTCCACGCACTTGAGAGAAATGTCACAAAGTAATCAGCAAGAAGGAAAATTCACATCGAAAAGACACGAAAAAGGTTTTGACAAGCAGGACCAATATTTTCCCTTTTGTGCGCTTTTCCCTCTCGTCGAATGGTACAGCAATAGACGTGACAATTTTCCTCAAGTCGATAAAACTCAAAAGTCTAAGAGTACGTTTTAGAATCATAAAACTTATTCAGCGACACTCTTGCGCCGCTCGCCAATATCATTGTATATCTCTGCAGGTCAAAAGAGAGGTAGAAAGAGGCGGAGTGAAGGAAAAAGTTACATCAAAAGCGTTGGCGTTTCTCGTAATAAAACGTAAACACGACATTACTCTCGCCGACTTCATTAGCGACCCCAGATAATCATCCGCATATCTCTCGCGAAGAAATCGCGTTATCAACTTCCCCGGCGTTTTAAGTTCGCGGAGAATTGCAGTTTACAAGAGAGTTCGCGGGAATTCTATTACCCGGCTACTGTGCACACTTCGATAAGCAGAGCAACCTATTTCTCAAATAAACTTTAATTATCGTCTTCCGTTCCGCCTTGTCTGTCTTTGCGAAAATCTTCTCGATCGTTTCTCTCTTTCTCTTGCGTCATCGTCTTATTTTGAGGTAGAAGAACATGCTCGCACGAAGAAAGTCAATAACAAAAGGCATTTACACGAAGCGGGAAATGTACATCGCGCGCGGTAAAAATCCATTAAATGCTTAGCGTGGGTCGAAAACCGGAAACGCGATGTCGGCGGTGGCGGGGAAAAAGAAATAGCGTGAGAGCAAGAGAGCCGCAGACTGGATCCGCACGTGGCGAAACGTCAACCGACGACGACAACGACGACGACGACGACGACGTTAGCGGCACGTACCAAGGGGGTTTATTATAAGCGGCCTCGTTTTTCCCTCATTTCGCAACACGGTCAAGCGGTGCATCGCGTGGTGAAAAATAATTTGCGCCTTTAGTGGAACGCGGAACGTTCGCGTACACGTCGTCGGGTCGGGCTTCGAGACGACGACGATTCTTGTTCGAGATATATATACTTACGTGAGAAATCTCCGCTCAACAAAATGCTAGAAATAAACATCTGGCAAATTTACATTAGACTTTTTATCGCGCGTATCATCGCCCGGTGACTTTATACACGTGAGCGCGAATAATATCAAAAATATATATCGAGAACTGCGTTTTTCTTTTTCACGAGCGGGTTTGCAAATCCGCCGGATTCGGAACGGGCGACCGAGAGAGAATTGTACGATTATATCCTTCCTTTTCGGAAACCTTTTCGTCGCGATTGGTCGATGGCGTTGTTATTGATCGCGCTGAAATGTCGACGACCGGGCAGTAGGTAAAAGCACGTCAATCTTGGTTAAAGGGCCGTTTCGAGGGTTTACAAGGCTCGCTCGCTCGCTCCCGCGGGAACGCACGAGACGTTCACTCGCGTGTGTTTAAATACACGTACATAAACACACACGACGTGATCGAAAAAGTTGTACTTGTTGCTGCGCGCGTCGCGATCTTGTCGAAAACTCCGTGAGGTCATCGCGATATCCAGAGATTGACAGGGGATCTCGTCCAGGTCGAAATCTTGACGATAGCAAAGCAACTATGGCCGAATCGGGGAAAACGAGGTCCGCTCCCTAAAATAATCGCGTTCGCGATCCAATCATCGTCGCTTATTTAAGTTATGAAAATTTGTTGGATTTGTTGATGTTTTGCGAATATATCAGACTTCCTTCGTGCCGCTCTTATCCTCGTCCTTCGAGAGAAAGAGAGAAAGAGATTTAGCTCTTTAATTCCGAGATAGAGAAACACGGCCGGGCTGACGGTTTTATATTCCACTCGCTGCGAACGACAGACGCCAGACAGACCGGAAGAATCACACGAAACTTGAAAGAGGGTAACTCTTCGTAGCACTTTTTATTTGCGGAAATTTCATCGCCACCGTATCTCCCTCGCCCACGTGGCGCGCTTTCTTTTGTGTTTGCTTTTGTCGCGTAAAATTTCAGACGTTGAAATAATTTCACAAAACACACGTAATTGCGTAATTGAAATAGCGAAACTCAACGAGAACATCACAACAAAGTGTGTAGGCGCCGTGCCAGCTAACGGATTCGACGAGTTCGCAGACGTACTCAATTAAAAGTTCGTTCCGTTGCTCGTTCGAAGAGAAATCGTGAACAGCTCTCGGCGATGATGACTTCGTGTCAGTTTTTTTTTCTTCCGAACGCTTTTCCCGAATCGTTTTGAAATCTCATCGCGATGACACAATGAAAACCATCTCAGCGAGATATCCTTGGATTTCATTATCGCTCCGATTATACGAACAGAGGAGAGCTAGAGATTCTGCTCTCTCCTTCTCGCGTTGTTCGAAATTTCTCTCGGCATTGTAATTAAAGCGTTTAAGTTCGAGTTCTTCCCGCGACTCGGCCTCCGTCTACCTCTTTCGCGGCGACGGAACGTTCACGTTCCGCTATTAACCCCTCTTTTCGAAACGTCGGATTCCGCGTCGCTCGGAATCCGTCGATTGTGAAATTGGAAGTCGATACCGACTTCGAACGAGTTTCCTCTTTTTTTTTACTTTTTCTTTTTTCTTTTTTTTTTTTTTTGGTAATCGCATCGCGTTTAATGAATACCACGCGATAAAGAGCAATCTGCCGTTTTTTTTTTTGGACAGTTTTTTTTCTTAGAAAAAAAAGAAATAAATCTCGTGACTGAAATCATGGCGCGATCAGAACGCAAGTCATGCTGGCGTTCGAAGGGACGATTGTGGGTGCGAACGGCAGATCGAAGATGCGACCGAATCGATTGTAATAATAATAACAAACTTCCCTTCTTTTCCAAACAATTGCAAAATCTCTCATTACAAGGCCGGATATCGTCGCAGCTCGGATCTTCTGTTCGCTTGGCACGACGACACCGATATAAGTTATAACTGTATATACGTCAAACGTATTCCCATATCTCCGTATACGATTACATAAGTCAGACATGCGCTTTCATCATCTACCGTAAATCTAGCGGAATCGTGTCGTCACTTACCGAACGGCAGTTCCAGCCGGCAGTCGATCAAGAGCGAATGGCCCGTCGGTTTTTTCACGCCGATGATCTCGTTGCCTCTCTGTTCCAGTTCCAGGCCCAGATTCACCCACTGTCCGCTAGTCTCCTGAAAGGTGATAAAGAACGCTTTGAGCAAAAGAAGAATTTTTGTTGTTTTTCACAAATGCTCGAACGCGCGCGGTAATTATATCGCGTAATGCGCGTGTCGGCGCGTCGTATTAACCGATCGTAACTCTTCGTTACGAACGCCGACTGTTAAAATCATTATATATTATATACACCAGGGGCAACATTTGCGCGTCTGTCGTGGAAACGACGCGACGTCTTCAACGTTCGCGCGCATGAAGTAATGAATTAATTAACAACCGAGTCATTATTCATTCAACGGTAGGTTGCGCGGGAAATAATTCACTTGGAACACAATCTCTCTTCTTCTCCGGCTTCTATACGGCCACTACGTTAGCGCGTAAGCGAGGAAGCAAGCGCAATTATTCGATAGCGGACCGCAATTTATGCAGACCGAGCAACTTCATCGAAGACCGTATTCTTTGAGCGCGCGGCGCGAGACTAATCTATGCGTGGATGCGGTGGATTGCGCTATTGCAGAGGATGATGGATATTACGAACGTGCACATGCAGTTTATGCGCCACCGGTGCACGAGGATATCCTAACGAGAAGCATCCTCGCGAAGTGTTCGTTCTCGACTTCAACGGAACTCTGTAGAGAAGAGCCAGAATTAACTCTAATTTCGAATCTCGAGTGTGTCTTTTTTTCGTCCAACATCTTTTGAAACTCTCTTCAAAACTCATTAAGAGTAAATTACGAAAAACCGTTTTTTCTTGTTAAACATAAACAACGGGACATGTCAGTAGACACTTGAAAGAATATGCAAGAGAAATGTTTTTAATATTCTAAAAATAAGATGTGCATCTACACTTTTTTAATAACTCACACGGTTCACTCTTTAGAGTGACAAAAAAATTTGAGTTAGAATAGACACGTGTAAATTTTTTAGCTGCTTGGAACGCGAGCTTGAAATATCGTCCCAACTTCCATCTCTTTTCTGCCGTCTAGCTATTATATTGAGGATATAAAAATCTTCTTCGGCTATAGTTCGCGTATAAACAAACAAAAGTTTTTTAAACAATCGACAAAGTTTATATCAATTTGTGAACCTTGAGCGGTGGTTTTGCCCTTCAAACTTGCGTTTCAAGCAGCTAAAACGAACACGGACTTCGCGGATGTTTCTTGCAAGAGGTATTGATGAGAGAAAAGAACTGAACACAGAATTCAACATCTCCCTCCCCCCCCCCCGCCGGATGCATGCGTTTCTCTATTTTCCGAGCGATATCGAAAAATCAAGCGCGAACCGAACCGAAATGCGGTGAACCCCGGGAAAATTGTCACAAGAACGCGAAAACCAATAAACGGCAAGGTGAAATCGATGCCGCAACTGCGAAGTTCGATATGTATCGCGTTTTGTCTCACGTAGAGGAACAAAACCGTGGCTTCGGGCGATCGATGGTTTAGCGGCTTAAAACTCCATAACTGCCTGGACAAAAACGAATCCGAGCGATGATGGTCTCCGCTTGTATAAATCCGAGCTGTTGCGTGACGACGTTCCGTCTCTAAAAATACGTACGTGTTTGTTTTTATTCTTCGCCCGTCGACACGCGCGTGAAGACGACGGCGTTACAAAATTATTTTATGTATCGCGAACGCAATTTCATCGATTGGCGAAGTTAAAGCCGACGACGCTCGCGAACACGCGGTAGTTCGCTAATATTACTCGCAAGTTTTGCAATTGCAGTTGCAAAATATGTATTAACATGTCAACAGAGAGGCGTAATTTAAACTCGCGAGTAAAGCGAGCGAGCAACCGACTTATCTCTTTTTCGTCGGTTACGTACGACGATGATTTAAACGCGGACAAATTTCGGTTTTGCAAACACGTGCGGCGCGTCGAGCGGAGAGATGAGGAAAACAGTTCGAGAGCGCGGCGTGTCAGAAAAGTGTTTTACGAAAACAAGATACAAATCCCGCGGCGGCATCCTGTCTCGAATAGATCTGTTTGTCCCGAAAAAGTCGTCAAAAATTACGACCGCGTTTTTCGGCGAAGTTCGCGAGCCAAATCTTATCGATGCGTGAAGAACTACGTACTTACGATCCAGCGATACCGTCTCGCCGCCAAATTGCGTCGGTCAAACTTCGTCGCTGTTATTGTCCCTTTCTGTTACATATGTCGATCCAATTTTACACGAAAAATAATATATCGAATTATTCGCAGTCAACAGACTCAGTGTTGGATGCAATCAATTTTGCAGCCAATACCGAGACGCTAAAGCAACAATGGCAATAATTAACGAGCTATTTCCGATTATGTTTTGTATCCCGCGATATGGAAAATAACCATAGCGCGAGATATTTTCGCGGTCGATACGGATGAAAATTATAGACGATTATATTTCAATTCCGACGTGATCTCAATTGGTTTCGAGCGCGCGCACGGCGTTAAAAGATGTAATCTCCGCTAATATTAGAAAAAGGTACATTTTGTCTCTCCGGAATGATCAATAGAGCATTAAAGATCAACACGGACATCCATCGTCTCGTGTACATAAACATCGACAGCTGAAATTTATCCCTATCGCACACACATACACACGCACACACACACACTCATAAAAGAAAAATACGAAATCGGAGGTAGATATCAATTTATATTCACCTACTGACACGAATCCTCCCTCGTTTTCGAGATCTCGCTATATCCGTGGCTACATAAATGTCACGAGTATCGTAAATTTTTTTCACGTTTTCCTTTCGTGTAAGTCGCGAATCTCGATGAAAAGCAAATGAATCTTTTATTATTGTGAGAAAAGTTATGTATTCGCGGTTTTCTTCTGTGTCGGGATAAGAACGTGAGAGAGAGAAAGAGAGACGATATCGCAGCGAACGAAGTTCTTTCGCAGTAATGCTAAAATAAGAAGCGCAGGAGCCACTATACGCGATCGTTCGTTCCAGTTAATTCCGCCCTATTACGGCGCTGCTGAGGGAGGGTCGAATTGGGTTAGCGGCGACGGGAACTGGTGTGACGCACTAGTCGCCCCTACCTTTCCGGTTTCAATCTGTTTTCTTACAACCTGGCCCAATTAGCGTGCCCATCGTGTGGGAAAAGGATAAGAAAGCGAGTCGCGCGCGGTCTCGCCGCCTCCGGCGAGAAAATAGACATCGCCGATCGATCGCGATCAATCGCGAGAATCCAATATGCACTTTTATCACGCACCGAAGAGAGAAGGATATGATTTCCGAGTGACGGTGGATCGGGGAAAATGAGTTTTTCACGCAATTTTCCGTTCATTTCTACCGACGCAGTCGGCACAATGGAGAACGACCTCCTCTCCTCATCTGTTCGCGTTCTAATATAAGACGGTAGGTAGGTTTTTTATTTATTTTCTTTTTTTTTTATTTTTTTATTTTTTTTTATTTACTCGTACGACAAGGAAGAAAAATGTACGGTAAACTATAACAAGACGATTGTAAACCGCTATGTACGCGCGGTCGTTGCTCCTCACTCGATCCTGGCGCTGTCATTTTTCGCCGCCGGTTATTATTCTCGCCGAGAAATTGTCGTGTTGCGTTGTGTAGTATACATTCTCTCCGCGTGATAAATAACAGAATGTTGCGGGACGGAGAGGAGGCTGAGGGGACGCGTTTTGTTGGATCGCGTTTCCATGCAGATGAATGCGTTATCTGCGAACTAATCGTTAATGGTCTCCGTCCATTTTCTTTTTTGTTTTTCTTCTTCTTTTTTCTGTCTTCTTTCGTGTCTTGCTCGACGTCTCGGTTCTGAATCTCGCGACGTTTAAAAAAAAAAAAAAAAAAAAAAAANAAANAATCACATCGGAAGATGACGACGCGGAAACCCGATGATAGTGGCGCTTGCAGGAACCGCAAACGAACGTATCCGTGAATAGAAATGTGACACCGCCCCCGTGTAATTAAGCGTCCGTCGACGAAGTGACACCGCTAGTCAGAATTTCTCAGAAACATCGCGCCGCACGTCACACCCGTGAATAAGACAGTCGTTGAAATTCAACGATTTCCGGTTTGCTCGAGAAAAACGTGCGAGAGACGTATGTGACGTTAACGGCGACGCTGGTGAAACGCGCGACATTATTCCCGCCACGTCTAAATATTCGGTAGATCGCTCGCGATCTTGAGAAACTCGGCGTGACTACGTAAATCCGCTATTGTTACCGATGAAAACTTCGATTTTCTTTATAAAATATGAAACCGCGTCTTTGGAAAAAGAAAGCAAAATGGTCGGGAAATCGTACAATCGATCGAGATGCAAATTGCACGAACGTGATGGAAGACTGTGCGGTCTTGTTTGTCTGTTCGATCAAAACGTATATACGTGTTTATCACGCGAACGTACTGCACAGAGCTGTTTTCTGTCGTGTCATGGTTGAAACAAGACTTGAAGAGCATCTCTGAAAAGAAAGACCGAATATACAATATCGCCAAGCAATAATCATTCGTTCGATTGTTGTTCGCGCTTACACGACAACAGATTGACTTGATATCGAGAGTTAAAGCGATTCCGTACGCAACGGAGAAAGACAAATACATGCAATTTATTTGTCGCGTTATGTATCCGCTACTGTATGTATATGATGTATTTATACGTAACCAGAAGCGATTCGACAGTCACGCCAGCGGTCATTTATTTGATGCCGCATACGTACACACACACATATGTGTATAACTCCAGCAATACTTGTTTACGCATTTGTCACGCGACGATGACGATATACACGTTTCGATTTTTTCCTTGCGCGCGAGCAATGTCGACGAGCGATTTGTTCGCCCGATAAGGACTCGGCCGGCTTGACTTTTCCGGCACGATTCGGAATGGAACGATCGTTGTTCGTCGATTCGCCGGGTCAACAAAGCGGGCCGGCCTATTGCTCGCGCGAAGGACTCACGAGCCGTCCTCGTTTGCGAGAAAACAAACAGAGGTAAAGTCTGTGTCCCCGTTCACACAGACGAATTGACAAATCTCTTCGTTGACTGAAACATCCGCGAAGAAATGTCGCGAG